AAAGACCCGCTTTGAATGCCCGAAAAGGCATTCAGGGCCTGACCTGCGGGGACGGGCCCTCAGATGACAGTGAGGGGGTGTTTTGCACCGCTCGGGGACCCGGAAGTCAGTAAGGGCCTATATGTCGGTTAGGCACCACCAGCACCGCACAGTCGGCCCCGTGTTGGTATGAGCCTGAGGGCCCACTCCACAAGCAGCTAAAAAGCCGGGGGCAGCGATTTACGCTGGTCGGGGCCGCTGTATTAGTGAGGGACTCCCAGTGCTCAAAATGGGCCCCGTGTTGGCAAGGGGTCCTGAGTCGACCAAGTGCAGTATTTGATGATGCCCGAAAAGGGGCCCTCGGGGCGTACCGGAACTGAAAGCCCAAGGCCTGATTGGAGGGCATAAGGAACAGGAGAGTTGGCTTTAGGTCGCATAAAAGATCCCGGACCGCAGGGCCGTGACCTGAAATATCAGTCGGAGGTCTTCTGGCACCGTTTGAGGACCCCTTGAGACGATGAGGGCGCCTATGTCAGCCAGAGACCACGAGCACCGAACAGTTGGTTTCGTGTCGGTCTGAATCCTAGGGGCCCATTTCCAAGCAGGAGCCAGGCCACGGCACTCGCTTCGCATTAATGTGGTCCCTGAAATAAGGATAGTGACCCTTTGGCGGTCAGGGGCCCGCAGTGTCTAACAGGTGGTCATCTGTCGGCACGTGGTCGGCAACTCGGCAAGTCTTGCAACAAGACTGCAACAACGACAGAGGGCCAGACCAGACAAAGCATAACCAAGTAAAGCATGGAGTACGGAAGCAATATGAGTTATGTAATTGAAGTATACATTGGCTATCCATAATTCAGTGCACATCCTAACACAAGTAAGTTCTTCAAGTAGATTTAGGCGTCTGAAGTGGAAGCTCATGTGATTCATCCAAACGTCATGATACCATGAGAAGTACAATAGTTGGAAAATTGTCTGAAATGCCCAGATATGTCTTAATTTTCTACTTGTCGAGAAAAAACTAGGGAGCTAGGCGCGACAGCTAATAAATCATGGTTAAAACTAAGCTCTGCATATGATGACACACACACACACACACACACACACACACACACACACACACACACACACACACACACACACACACACACACACACGCACGCACGCACGCACGCACGCACGCACGCACGCACGCACGCACGCACGCACGCACGCACGCACGCACACATACACACACACACTGGAAACCTAAACCTAACTCTAGAATTAGGTTGCAATTTCTAGGAACATTTTTGAGTTTTATCGGCTTAGAAAGAGTCCACTGAACCATTCTTAAACTATAAGCACCGGTGACTCATTTACGAAGTCGATCAACATCGGATGTTTTAATTTTATTGAACTCGAATTTTAAACAGAATTCGCCTCGCGGGTGTCCCTGGGTTCTGTTTCATTTCTGGAAGATAAAAACAATAACAAAAGCAGGGAAGCCGTGACCCTCATTAACAACCGGCCGCTTTTGGGGGCCTATTCTTTTTCCAATGAGGGGCCCCAGCCTCATCAAGACAAAAACTAAATGTTCTCGGGCCGCTGTGACCGTTACGCTGCTCATAGATCAACCAAAAATTATACAGGTGAAATTTGCGTGCCAGACTAATCTTTGACCGATGCGAACTGCTTTTGAGAGACTTGCGGAATTATCATTTCACAACGGTCGTTTTCGCCCGCCAGGCGTCTGGTATCTGTAGCGGCCGACGCCACTCGGTTTGATGGAAACTGGAACCACGGCCTATCGGTGTTGTCGCGGGACCCTCCTTTTTCGGGAAAGGAGCGCCCTGTTCTCAGTTCGTGCGATGCTCTATGGTCCTTATTTTCGAGATGATGTCTTCGGGTGTTTTGACATTTTGAGCGAGGTATCCGTGTTTTATGGATTTGTTCTCTGAAAGTTCCTTCTCCAGTTTTAAGCGTTATTAACATAACATTCTATAGATCCGAAGCTACAGCTCCGTAGATATCAACGTCTTTCATTCAACCTCCCCTATGTGTGCACTGTGCAGTGCGACAATCCGATTCAGATTTCATTTTGTCTTCAATACGGTCGAAATCCTAAAAAAATGTGATAGCGCCACGTGGTTGGTGTGAGCTGCCAACCACTTTGTAGCGATTTTGATCCACCTGCGTCTTGACTTACTTACGGTTTGACTTATTAAATAGCAGCCCGACCTGGTGTTGACGAATGAGCCAGTGACGAACAGCAGTCAGGATCAAACGGTTTGTGAGTGAGTTAATCGAATCCAGAAACAAGGGTGTGGTGTTTGTGGCGAACTAATTGGAAGTTATAACCGCATGTTGGGCTTGGAAACAATATGTGAGAACCAGGAGCTAAAGCCTGTTTGCAAAATAACCCATGTGATGCAGTAACCAGGGAGTAATGATAATGAAAGAATTGGCCAAAACGAGGGATCCGGAACCTCGTTTTGATGAGGGTAAGTGGGTACCAGAAACCAACATGGAAAGCCAGGCACACATCTGCTGGAAACGGATTTCTAAGGGCGAATAAGAATATAGACTCAGTGGTAATGTCAAATGTTATATCCTAATTTATCACATACCATCATGTTAATCAGCATGCTGAGTAGATCAATTTTTCGCCGACATCAGATCCAATATTTCCTGCTTGTGGACTCTGAGTCCGAAGAAAAACATCCCAACGAAAACAAAGCATGTGTATCTATTTCAAATATTACCGATTGTCCTACGCTGTAATATCATACAAACATTGTTATGGTGGTGCAACATATGGTGGTTTTGGTCTCGTAATAGTCTGACATGGGATGGGGGATTTCCAAAGTTTGGGCAAGCAAATTGGCACAACCCTAGCATAAGATGGATACCAGGTAAGCGAGAACAAGACCGTGCTATGTTTTACCTACACGTGTTGCGATTTTTTCAGATACCAGTGTTCTGATTTAGTTTAATTTCAGGAGAATATTGTATGAAAAATGACCAATCACAGTTTATTGCGTTTTGCATGCACCAGCAACTTTGTGAACAAGCGTATGAACTTCAGTTGCATTGGCATGCTTGCATATCATGCAGTTACACACCTACACTCCCGTACTGGACCCACGCGCTTGGCGTCCATATTGCTAACAACGATTTTCATTCGCCTTAGTGTTTCACCACAGCACATATCAGCACAGGTTAACCGATATTGGAAGCGTAGCATTTGACTCATTTCCCTGAACATTTATGTTTCCTGACCGCTCTTCACGCCATGCTCCCTGTTTCGTATGCAGATCTTGTGGACATCACGGTGATTTGTTCTGCCACGTCAGGTAAGCCGTCAAAAAATGATGAGCCTTTTACATGAAAACCATCCGTCCCGAACAACAACATTTACGCGTAATCGGCGCTTGCCAAGATAACATCTTAAGTTATAGGTGCATACACGCCTACAAACATCTCTTTTCCACCTAAGGATCCTAGAACATCGCGCAACACAGACCACAGTCAGCACTTGAACACACTACCACAGTGCAGAATCTGGGGCTTATCGCCATGGCAACCGCGGTTTAATTCTGTGACCACATGAAGTCCCCTGACCAATGGAAGAACAAATATGATGTCCGAATTTGCGGCTTCCCCAAAGCCATAGGCCCTACATTTACGGAGACCAGAGCGCCTTACCTTATTGTTTCTATAACCTTGACCGTATCATTGAAACTCCACGTCAAAGTGGAGGTCGGCACATTTTAAGCTTTTTTCCGAAAGTAAATGTAAATGCGCTGTAAATTCTTCACTTTTGCTGTGCCATTATTGGACCGGTTTGCATTTGATAACACATTGTGGCAGAATGTCGTAGCAAACGCAATTTGCTGCAGCGCGCAGAACTTGGCTGAATAGGATGAAACATCGCTGAATAATGCTCAAACACTCCACTAATAATACAAGACAAGACCATAATTAAAATGATACGTGAGCTATGGCCACTTGAAAAATGCCTGATGTACCAAAAAGAGGAAAGCTCCAGCAAACATGGCACGTACGCGGCTCTCTTGAAGTTTGAGGAACTCCGTCAGCTGCACTCAACTGAAACTGACTTTGCAGTTTGCACTTTCTTTGTGTCTCACCTGCGAAAAATCTTACAAATATTTAGAAAGTTAATAAGTTTTAGCTCACTTTTCATATTCTGTGTAAGCCTACATAGGATCAAGAGGGTTGGGGCAAACTCACCGTTGGGGGGCCAATTTGGACTTGGGGATGGAGGCAGTGGCCTACCCAGTAGAACATAAATCAATACCCGTGGCCCTCATTCACACAGATAGCGCCAGAGGAAGTCTTCCGCAGCACCACCAGCGATCCGGTTGCGAGCTGACCCGGCTACAGATCTCCAAAAGAAACAGACCAATAATCTGCTAAGAGCTGGCACGGTGCCAGCCCCGGTCCGATCATTACGATTAGAAGTTTTTTGGGAAATTTGTGTGGCTCGCCATCTCTCATGTGACGCACTAGTTTATCACGTCAGTATTAAGATGGTTTGATGGAATCATTGCCATCAACTGTTACACGCATGGTGATGCGTGTGAAAAGATGCGCTTATTCTTTTTCGGGTGGTAACTACCACGACAGGGGCATGTTGCTCTGGCCAGACTTGATCAGCCTTCACAATTGCAAGAAAACTCGCGAGCTGCTAGAAGAGGCCAGAGTACCGTATGTGTCACTCGACACGAGTCCCCTCGAGGGATTAGTGTCGCTCCACTGCACCCCTGTGCGCCTCAGCTGGCAGCTACGTCCTGTTGAGGACGTCTAGGCATCATTAAAAATAAGGTTATGAGGGAGGCTAGTATGTAGCATCCAACCTTGCTCTGTCGTGCATGGTGCGCCAGGCGAACGCTGACCCGGACCCAAATGTGCAGCGCAAACTGCTGATGCCCGTGCCCAGGTGTGAGCGCTTCCCACAAAGCCGGGGTGATGGAAAAGGTCCACGAGGCATGACATGACCGCAGTTTTTAATATCACGCTTCTGTTGATAATTGTATTGATAAGGTAATGAGCGTGCTTACAGCATGATTACGCATCATATCAGTTCCCAGCACCATCTATTATGCAAGAATCGCCTTTTTAGTTACCAGCGCGCGGCTGCGGGTTCTGACCACTTCAGCTGCGTCATAAAGCTGAGGAATCATTCCCTGTAATTTCAGCCGCTCATCGGGGCAGTACCTTGAGGAACGGGGGGTCCTTGGGCGAGAGCAGGAAGGAGCACGGATGGTGGGGCAGGGGCGGCGGTGGCGTGCGCGGTCCCGGTGCCAGCGAGCTCTCGCGCAGCACCGCCGCCAGCGCCACCTTCGCCTCGAACAGCGCGAACCGCATGGCGATGCAGTTGCGCGGTCCGCTGCCGAACGGTATGTAGGCGCACGGGTGGCGCTTCGCCTTCTCCTCGGGCAGGAAGCGGTCCGGGTCGAAGCGCAGCGGGTCCGGGTAGTGGTCCGGGTCGCGGTGCATGGCGAGGACTGGCATACCGACGATCATGCCGCGCTTGATGAGCAGGTCTGTGCCGGGGAGGACGTAGTCTTTGGTGCAGCAGCGCTCGAGACGCAGTGCCGGCGGGTACAGGCGCAGCGTCTCGGCCAGCACTCGGTCCAGGTAAGTCATCTCCGTGACGGCGTCGTAGGTCAGCCGGCCGTCGTGCTTCGCCAGCACCTCGTCGATCTCACGCTGAACAGCGCTCTGGATGTCGGGGCTGGTGGCCAGCGAGTAGCCGGCGAACGTCAGCAGCGAGGCCGTCGTGTCATAGCCGGCGACGAAGAAGAGGAGCGATTGCGCGACGATGCTGGAGTCGGCGAGGACGCGCTGACCGTCCTTGGTCTTGGTCTCGAGCATGAGCTGCAGGAAGTCACGGGTGGCGGAGCTATGGGTGTCGCGGTGGGCAATGGTACGGCCGACGACGCGCTCGAAGAAGTCGCAAGCGCTCTGCGTGGGGTCCGGCAGGCTGTTGCCTATCCATTTTGGGAACAGCGAAAGCACCAACAGGCGAAGGTTGACGTAACGCGTCGGCGCCTTAAAAAACTGTCCGGCGTGCGCAGCGAATTCAGTGTTGGGGTCTTTGAACGAGTTGCAGTTGACGCCGAAACCGCACGAGGCAATGTTGTCCATGGTGAAACGACCGAAGGCGTCCTTCAGTTGTACCTCCCCATTCGCCGCCATCTCTTCCCGCAAATACCCGGCAAGGTTGACCGCGTTGTCCAGGCAGAGCTGGTGCATGGCCTTGAGCTTGCTGGCAGAGAAGCTGGGCGACAGCACCGTCCGCGCGTCCTTCCATTCCTTCCCACTCAGCATGATGATCATCTTCTCAAACCCCTTGCTGATCGCGAGGTCACGCCGGTCGGTAAAATGTTCGAAGTCCTTGACGGTGATAGCGCGGATTAGGTCCGGATCGCCCACGTAGAGCACCGGCCGGTGCATCTCGAGATAGCCGCAGTACTTTTTGCCGCCTTGCTCGTTGTACAGCCAGCTCTCAAACTCGGAAATTCGGAATTCTCCTCCACTTAAGCTGGCTTGGTTAAAGCCATGCCCGTAGGGAAGTTTGGCCGGGGGGCCGGGCACGCCTCGCGACGTCCAGTAGTCGTAGTCCTTAGTGTAGAAGCGGTAGGCGAAGGCGATGACGGCCACCAGAACAGCCAGCGTCACTGGGCTCAGGACCCAGCCCAACAGCGACCAGAGCAGCGAAAGGAACGCGCTGATCATGATGTCAGAAATGTTGACGTCGACCTGTCTCCACCTCGCACTGTCAGTTTCTGTGTTCGCTTGCTCTCGGGTGTTACTTCGTGGTGACCATCAACTCTGCACCGGCCACCCACTTCACTCGTTTGGGGCTTTCCCCGCCGTTTACTTTTTCGTCCATATACCCCACCTCACCTGCCCTCCAGTCGCCCAGCACCGCTCACTGTTTACCTAAGCACCCGTTCTGTTTGGCACGCGCGCCGAACCGGCCCTGAGTCTTGGTCCAGGCCCGATTGGGCCCTTCTTCGGGGCGGACTGCAGCTAACCTCAGACGTTGGCTGGCCTACGACCACCCGACAGCCGCAGACGTGAGTGTGGTGTCACAGACCGGTGTTGAAGAGTCCTCTGCAGCTATCAGGCACGGATGATAGCCGATAGTGACAGCAGCGTCTCGCAGTGCTGCCGATAAGCCGACTGCTCTCCGAAACATCCGGATGTGTTGGCTGTTTTCCTGAATGGGGCGGCTGGACGGCGAAGAACACCACACAACCACACCCCGACCCGCCCAACTCGCCGGGCACTGCACCAGCCGGCCGACGTCGCCCAAAGCCGTGCGAGCAGTAATGCATTCAGCCTTGGTCCGCTCGAGGCAAAGCCCCTAGTGACGTCATTGGAATCAGCGTCCAAGGTCGTTTACCGCCGGCGGTTTTCAGCGGCGGTTCAAGGGCCGGATCTCGGCGGCGAGGGAGCAAGGAAGACGGGATGATTGAGTGAGCGAGGCGCAAGGGGGGGGGGGGGGGGGGCGGAGGGGGAGGGAAGGAGGCCGGTATCGCATCATAGCAAGAAACGTCACGTCACAAAGCTGCGAGTCGACGAGCCGGCACGTGTCGTGGGGGCAGGGCGTCACGACGGGAACCCTGCATGTTTCATGAGATGTTACGAACCTGAAGAATATAATAGAACAAATGGGAAAAATGTAGAAGAGACAGGAAAAAATAGACATCTGTACTGTACCATAAGAAGGTATCACAAAGCCACCACCCTATGGTCTCTTAAAGAGAAGTTAATGGAAAGAGGGGGTCATATCAACCTTATTTCCCACATTGAATTGAGCTGCTTTGAGGGATATTTGAAACCAAAATATGAGTTTTATTTTTGCTATCAAACTGCATATACAAGAAAGGTGTCTGGCTGTACAATATGGATGCGTGCTGTTTGGCGCTCGGCAATCAAGCGTCTGGAATTCTTTACATATTTTCGGGGCCTTGGCCACTGCCCTCAATCCTGTTTGAGCTTACTAATGCCATTCGGAACTCCCAATGCAAATAGGCGGAAAATTAAGAATTTCTCAACTATATATAGGTAACTGAGCACACAATTGTTATGTTGCGCCATTCCCAATTGTACCCCATAATATCATACAGGTTTGTTGTCTGTTTTATCTTGCTGACGCTGGCACATGCTGCGTCAGTCTGCAAATGCAGGTAGGTCTTTCAAACGACAACAGCTGGATGGGATCAAAAATGCATTGTAGTATATCATGGATTTTCTTGTTGAAGCAACGAAACTACTAGAAAGGCCCGATCCTAGAGAACACTAACGTGGGAATGCGCATGTCTGGCGGTTGGCCGTAGGCTTTTGCTTTTCAATCTCAGCGTTGAAGTTGTAGGCGTACATTTTCATGTCTCGTTGTTCTGCGCGCCACCCGCCCGGGACCGGAGGGGTTCCGCGCACAGAGCGTGGGAACGCGAGCCAGCCGGCCGTGGTCAAGGGCTTCCCTCTCCCCTCCATCACACTCCCCCCGAACCACCCCAAGAACCCCCGCCGCGCAGGCGCCGCCGTCGCCCCAGATGCCGTTTCGAGAGCTGCGCCACGTGGGAACTGGGCCAGTGGGGGACGCGCAGGGCCCGCCCGAGGCGAGAGCGGGCTGGCCTTGCGTCGTCGCCAGCGACACCACGCCCGAGATCTGGCCTAGGGGCACGTCGAGGGACGGACTCTGGCAGCGGAGCATGCCGGCCCGGCGACGGATTGGACGGAGGAGGTGAGGCGGCAAACCGATTGGGTCACGCAAGGCGACGGGGGCGGGTCGACCCGGTTGAAAGGCATCGGAATTTTATAAATTATCATGCGAGGGCCTCGAGGAGGAGACCAGGCAGTACAGAGTGCGAGGAGTACGGACCAAGAGTTGCGACGTTCGACGCGGCGGGCAACAGTCACCGACGACGGCGCACACGATGTGAGTGCCCAGACCGTTGACCCCCCCCCCCCTCATTCCATCTTACCGGGCCATGGACGGCTGGCGCCCCGAGTGTGCCCTTCCGCCCCGCTTCCCACCGGGCGGCGTAAGCCGCGGTTGCCGCAGAGCCGGGGAAAGGGGGAGGGGCTCGGGGGTGTTAGTGTGGTAGGTGTGTATGTCGTGGTCTATGGGTGATGTTTTGCTTCGTTGTCTTTGCGTATAAATACAGGTATTGGATTGCGTAGCGATGGTTTAGTGAGGGAGCGAGGCTGGACGAGGTCGGTTCGGGCGGCGGGAGGACACGCGGCCCGGCGTTGGGCGGGGTCGGTCCGGAGCCCGGGACGCATGCTTGGGCGCAGCGGCCAGTTCGTTGGCATGCCCCGTAGGCGTCCGGAGTTTATCAATGGCGGAAGCCATGCAGAGGCGCATCGGCTTGTCTGGGCCCTCGTCTGGCCGTCGTCGCGGTCGGACGCGATGTACGGGCCGCGCCGACATGCTATGGCGGCAGGACGTGGGTCAGGTGGACCGTTCGCCGTACATTTCTCGTTTCGTTTCCTTTGTCAATAGCTAGAAGCCGGTTTAGTGTCAATAGTTAGAGGCAATAAGCTGGAACCTCACGGGTTGGATCCAGCGCGCATGCTCGGCCTTTCTCGCGTAAGAGGTCAGCGCGGCCTAGCTCCGCGCATGCTGCGCGGATTCCCCCAGCGAGCGCGTGTATTGCCCGGCTTCTATCTCCCTCTGCCTTTCACTAGGTCTGGGTTGCTCTCTGGCCAATTGATGCCCCGCGCTACTGTTTCGTTAGCGAATACCCATGTCGTCCGAGATGGATCCGACACGGACGCCGGGGGTTCGGTATGGGGAGAATGGCGTCGAATTCGCCGAACCGGATGTAACCCCGGTATGTAGGCTAGAGGTCGGAGAGAGACCGCCTGCGCCGGGATGTTAAGGCATAGCGGTGAGGTGTGCCGGGCCCGCGGCATCTCGAAGGATTTCCCGCAGTTCCGCGAGACCGGAGGTTACTCGCGGGGCGTCGCCCGGGCCGGCGTTCGGGAGGTGACACGGACGCCATCTGTCAGTCGCTATGGGCAATTGCGGTAGAGGGCAGCACCCGACGGTGCGCGATGGCGGCGCGGGCACCCGCGACCGGCCGGCAGATGACTGTCTGCCGCGGTGCGGGTGGACGGAGCAGTCCACCGCTCGTGGCCCGCCAGCAGGTGGGTAGCCCGGCGCGGCTGTGACGAGGACGAGGAGCCAGACGACCGCAGTCCTGCTTTTACGCAGAAAGACGTTTGTGGGTAGCGCGGCACAAGACAGTTTCGTTTTTTTTTGAGACGGCCGACTCGTTTTGTCGTTCCCCACTTGACCCCAGGCGTGACGGCCTAAGGAGGCGTTGGTCATGAAGTGACCTTGGATCCGTGGGGGCCGCCTGGGATGCTCGATCGTGCAGGGCGGTAGCGGAGTCTATCCGTGGTGTCTCCGCCTTGGGAGAGGGCAGGAGTCAGTCCGCTCTCTTCCGACGTGGTGCACGCCGGGCCTTATGAGCGATTGGTGATGGGATGTTCGGGACGGATAGAGATCCCGTCATCGACGCTCATAGGGAAGGCGACGAGGAGTTAGGTCGTCGGACAGGCCGGTCAGGCCGAGTCTCCAGAGCGTGCCGGCCGGGGAGACCGTAAGGCGTGAACGCAGGTCGCACCGGGCGCTCGTCGTCTGCCGAGAGGCCCCACCGTCCCATGAGCGCGCTGTCTGCCTCCAGGCCTCTGAGGGACGCGCTATGGGCGGTGCCTTGCAAAGCCTGCTCCGGCGGACGGGAGGCGAGGGCGCAGAAGCGCCGGAAGCGACGCCTCCGTGCTGGACGAGGCGCCGTCTAAGGCGCATGCGCGGCAGCGGAAAGCTGCGAGCGGTGGGTGCGGCCGTGTGAGTGCGGAGCCGCCCATCGTGGACGGAACGTGGGAAGCGTCGTCCAAATAGGGAGCCGTCACCCTGGAGGTCAGGCGAGGGAGCGAGTCGCCGTTCAGCTTTGACACTCGTGGTCGGCCCAGCAGCTGCGTCGGTGTCAAGCTGGCAAATCATCGTGATATGTTTGAACGGGGCTTAAACGGGCATTTATGGCGAGACCGAAATGTGATAAGTGAATTAAAACTTAACGAGGACCCATGCAGACGGCCAATTATAATGTCAAGGTGCGGGGAAAAAGGGGGGAGGGGGGGTCCCACCCGTGTGCGTGCCAAGGAAGAACGAGATGGTGTGGGCGCCAGCGTATGCGAATGCTTGGAATGAGTGTGATGGGCGCCGAGTGCGTGGAGTCTGCGTGGATTAATTAAGGCGGGGGGGGGGGGGGGGGTCCCATGGTCATTACCTAGTGGGCCCTTGTCAATATAGTTCGCCAGTGCGGGGGACCATTGCCGTTTAGGCGCGTTAGTATGCACGCATTCCCGTTTTTGCCCCATTTAAATGATATCGCTAGCTAAAGGGTGGAGGTGGATACCGTGGTCAAGGGCGCACAGCCATGGGCGGGGAGACAGCCGTTCATGGTGCCTGACCGGATCCGCCATCCCGCCAATGCCCCGGTCACCCGCTTCATCCTAGCTCTGTGGCTCACATGAGTGTGTGTTGACGTCGGGTGTACCGGAGCCACAACGTGTCGAGCCGTGCGCTAACATCAGGGAGCTCGTACGCTGACCAATGGGCTCCTCATTATAAATTTGCTCTCGTGGGTGGATGTGACAGCGGCAACCGGCGGCGTGCGACATCCAGCGGCGGCCAGGAAACCCCGCCCCATCGCACCGCACCACCACCCCAACGGTCCACAGACACACCCCCACAAAGTCACCTGACGTGCACTTGTTCCTTTATCTCATCTATTCTTGGCATGGCATTGCTATCATTTTTCCGATGCCCCGACCTTTAAAAGTCCTCATAGTTGTGCTTAAAGTGACCCACGTCTCGGACATATTTAAGAGCATACTGCGGTGAAACCTCGGGACTAGTTACGCCTAATAACGGCATTGGGTCTTGTCACTGCAGCACTGCAAGACAGGATAAGAATATACATTTTGATCATTTTCGAGTCAAAATTACGCCGTCAACGCTTCGTAACAGCATCAAGCCTCTTCTGTGCAGTCGCACCCACCGTCGCCATCATCTTTGAGCGCACTTCTACTGGTGTGAATAAAAGAGCGTGTGTGATTGGCCTTGTGGGCGAGAACTTGTTATCGGGAAGCACATTGTTTGATATTCGAACAAACGCGTCACATGGATCATGTGATACTCACATTCCCAGAGCCAACGTGTGCCTCGAAAAGAGTCAATCTGGTAAACGCAACTGGCGAGAAATCCGACCCACAATGTAACGTTTCGTTGAATTCGTGA